TTGCTTATTTTTGTTAGAATTTCATAATTCAAAATAAAAGCATTTCTAATCTTTCTAGCTCATGTTTTGAAATGCAATTTAAATTTCATACTTTTACGCACTGTCATATGCAATTCGTTGATAATTCTATAAGACACTTGAACTTGATAACCCCCTCAATTCTTTCGGTACAAACCAGTTCACAATTACTAGTTGATTCAATTTAAATGAGTGTTGTATTATAAGACAATATGTACAAAAATGTGTATGTGTATTTGTGGGTATATAACACTAGCTAATTGGCAAAAATATATTACTCATAAAGAAATCCATAAATAAATTTTCAACCTCCACTTATTAAAGGCGGGTATAAAGAATATATAACACAGTTTAAGCATTTTGAATATGGAAAGCATGAATATAATTTTACATACTTTAAGCTTTTTAATGAAAAGGAAATGTCACAACTCTACAACCGATTACAACTTGTCCGAAAGCCAACTAATCAAAAGTAGCAGTAATATAATACTAGTATAACCTCTGGAGCGGTCTAGCAACAAGCTGACAGTTAAGTTCTGGTTAACTTAACCAAAACTCGGAAAAGAAACTTTTTTTTAACCAGAACTTAACTGACAGATCGCGGCACTTACAAATTTTCAATTTCATAGAGTTATAATTTCAGAAGTTTATGTACTACATTTTATCTTTGTAATTTTAGGGTTCAACATGTGCCCTAACCGAATCTATACTTCGTGCACATGGCATCAAAACCGGCTTCTATAGTTCACCACACTTGTTGTCAGTAACGGAAAGATTACGCCTCAACGGTCAACCCATATCGAAACACAAATTTGTACGCACCTTCAGACGCGTCTACAATTGCCTGCGTAAACAACAGCAATATGAGGGGGATATGCCGGCATATTTTAAGTTCCTAACGATACTAAGTTTTCATCTGTTCCTCGAAGAGAAAGTACAGGTTATCATAATGGAGGTGGGCATTGGCGGCGAGTTGGATTGCACAAATGTGATAAGGTAAATGACAAAAGAAAACATGTATGAAGACGAGCTGCTCTTTTATGGCGCGCTTACATGTAAAAAAAGTTAATTAAAGTTTGTTTTTGTATCAGAAAAATTCCACTTCGTGACAATGTGATGACATTCATTTTCAAATATTATGGTGTTTAGACCCATAGATATTCAATATAGTATAATATGGCGTTTAGACCTTTACTAAATGCCTAGATGAGCAACTATTTTAATATTTTTAATATTTTTTAAAAAATATTTAATTCTGAAAAGTTTTATTTTTTAATTGTTTACAGAAATACGCAAACCGTCGGCATAACCTCACTTGGACTGGAGCACACACAATTGTTGGGCGATACGCTTACTGAAATCGCTTGGCAAAAGTCGGGTATTATTAAAGACAACGCTGATGTTTACACATCTGTAACACAAAAAGAATGCCTCGATGTGATCAAAAAGCGTGTCGCGGAACATAACGTAAGCAAAGTGAATTATAGAAAATTAGCTTAATATATGTATGTATAAATTTTGAATGTATTTTCAGGCCACGCTACACATAGTGCCTGAGTATGCGGAATACTTCCGTACACCCGAAAATGCAGAGCTACTTTCCAGCCTCAATGAAGTGATACGACTTAATGGCTCTTTGGCCATACAGCTAGCCTACGATTGGTTGCGCAAAAATGGCTACGAACGCTACAAACAAATTGAGCTTACGCAGCTAACAAAGGAAGTGGAAAAAGGTTTGCAGCAGTGCAATTGGCCGGGACGTTGCCAAATCTTGGGCATTGATAAGCTGAAGTAAGTTATTTTTGATAAATACCACTGCAAACATGAGCTAATAAATTTCATGACGCCTTTAGATTTCACATCGATGGTGCGCACACTGTCGAGAGTATACGCGTATGCAGTGATTGGTTTAAGCGTGTAACGGAAAAGAGGTTGGTAAACCATTAAATAACTTTTAGAAATTATGTTTAAAAATTCGCAACTTTTTTTAGCCCAAACCCACGTGTGCTCATCTTCAATACCACCGGTGAACGTGATTCGCGGCGCCTGCTTGAGGTTTTGTACAGCACTATCGACTTCGATACGGTTTACTTTGCGCCTAACATTGCTTCGGGTGCCTCAAACCACAATGACAATACTTCGGTTTTCGGCATAACGGAACAGTTGAAACGTGCTCGTCTACATGCGAGCATTTGGTGTCAATTGTGCCTTGAGTCAGATGAAAAGGATACCTCGAAAACATTCGGTTCGATACATGATTGTTTTCGAGATGTGCGCGCCGTTTACGGCATGCAGCAGCCGGTGGATGTACTAGTTACCGGTTCTTTACATCTAATTGGTGCCACAATGGCAGCATTTAAATATTTATAAAAAATGTTCTGCGTCAAAACGCTTTGTTGAAATGTACATATACCATATTCTAATACTATTTATATAATATATAATGTAAACGAATAACAAAATAATTTTTTGTGCTAATAACGGAAAAATAAATATTTTAGTTAGAAACTCAACCAAGGGTGGTTTTGAAAAGCAAAAATTGGTTTCATTTAACCGTGAGCGTTAGCGACGAGGTGGTAGTGAAGGATTTCAGAAACTTTACTTTAATACTTCGACAAGAGAATTTTGAGCTCACAATTCGCGGTTCCGCTTTATCATAAGGAGAGTTTCTGGATGATTAAGAAGCCAACTGCGAACTAAGAACTTAGATTTAGCTGCTTTCTACCTGATACCTCTCTCTTTAAGGTTAAAGTTTACCTTCGAACAAGTAATGCCATTAGTTTCTGTTTCTATTCTTAAAATTTACGTTTAAATTTGCTTCTTCTGGGCCGACTATTACTGCATCCTCGTCAACTCGATCTGATTTGCTTACTAGCTTCGATAAAACGGATACTAAACGTCCTAAAGATATATGTAGTTTCATAGAGATTGGGAAAGATTGCACAGGTCTTGCTTCTGAATCGACCGATATCGATATATTATATTTGAGGTTATAAGCAGGCGTGTTGTAGTTTCATAAAATTTGATCGAGAACTTGAACATCGAAAAATGTTATTCCAAAATTTATTCCAATAGATCTACTCGCAAAGAATAAAAGATAACACTGATTACGGAAAAAGTACAGAGCAGAATTACGCATGTTCGCAAGACAACAGGCGAGGCACTCTGGTAAGATAAGTGAATAGAACTTGGCATGTATTTACCAAGATCAATCACTAGACAATGCTAATCATAACTTTTTTATGTGGCGCCGATGGAAGGAAGCACGAAGAACTATAGAAAACAAGCTTCGTTAATCAAACACAGAAAATCTAGTGAAAAAAATTATAATCGGCGAGGAAATGACAGCAAATTGCATCGTAAATGAGAAGCACTAAAAAAAGTGACATCGACCCAGATTCCAGGAAATTCGATTCAATAAAAAGGGAGTCAAATAGCAATCAAAGACATCTCTGGATGCAGCGAGAGTAGAAACTGATCTGCATTAGGTCGATCTTGGAAACCTTGCCATGAAGTAATGCAAAAGCGCTTAATTCCTAAATGTTTCTTAAAAAACTTCTAAGCCTGCCCTGAAGTGTAAGCGTACTTTCGATGAGGAGTCAACCAGTTCCACTCAGCTCATAAGAGTATTTGTTCTTCAAACATTAATCTTATAATTTTTACTACTAATCCACTACTCTGCTATTTAAAAATCTACCTAACAGCTTCCAGCGTCTAAACCCTTAAGCATGAAAAAACTGTGATTGATTATCCTCTGACATTAGAGATTCACCAAATTAAATTTAACGGTTTAACTAACGAATTATTGTAAAGAAGTCTTCATATTGTCTGACCTCAAGAAATCGAATCCAAAAAAAATGGCTTCAAAAACAGAAACTTTTCAAGTGTTGCCCTCACCACACAATTACAGCCTAATTAAGCGGCAAGCGTTAGCCTTTCCAAGCCGAAATTTCCAAAATACAAAAACGACAGCGGAAATATATATTACATATATATTTGTATACGCTGGCAAAGTAAAAATTGATGCGATTTGGCTAAAATGCTAAGAAATTATGCTAAACGCGCCCACACCACACAAGCTTACAAAGCGGCGCGGATAGAAAAATTGAAAACATTTATAAAATCTGCAGGGGGTTGCTAAATGTGCGACCAATCAGCGAATAGCAATGATATCTCCTCCACAGGATATGCAGTAACGGCGAGTGAGTGGGTGGCGGGTTGAGAACAAGTGCATGCGAGAGAGAAAGAGATGACATGATAAGCACACTTCTAGCAGCGTATAAGCGTAAGCAGTAGCCTAACGGCGTTTTTTCAAAAACAAAATGGCCAACATATAACCGCTGTGGGTGGGTGGATGTTGGAGAGTATACTACGTGTGTTAGTGTATGAGAATAAGCGCATAGGGATGTGATTGAGATGAGCAGATGGCACTTGTCAATGTGCGCGTAGCAGATTGACAGCAAACGTTTAGATAGCGGAGAGAGCGCTTACATACATATGTTTATGTCGCATATGTGCTGTTAAGACGCGTTTTTATTAAATAACGGTTAAATGTAAGGCAGCAGCGGGTTGAAAGTTTTGCTCTGCACACATACTAAAGAACTTTTTTTTTTTTTGACATTTTACTTGCTAAGAGAGTCCGGGCAGCCGACAATTTGCGTTAATTCATTTTATCAGCGGCAGCGGCGCTATCATATTCGCACAGCCGTTATCCTGCGTAGGTAACATTGGTGTTTTAGACGTTAAATGGATTAAACGGCACAATCAGTTGGCCATTTGACTTCATTTGCAACGGTTACGCGTTAACGACAGGATGTTAGTTAAAAAAAAATTAAATTAATTGAATTTAAATAAAAATTTTTATCAACAAAAAAAACCGAGTGCAAAGAAAATTAATGAAAATAAATTTAACAAGTAATAAAAAGCAATGTATAATCATATGATTCTTTAAAAAAATCTTTAAAAACTGAAATACACAAATTTAAGTGTGGCAATAATTGATAGTGTAACGGTAAAAATACTTTTAATATTCTCTGTGAAACATTTCGAAATTAGCTCAAGTAAAAAAAAATTCACATTTAATTACAAAAGGACGACTGAGCACACGGCACGCTTGTTGATACGTTCAGTTACAAAAAGTGAAATTAACAAAAAAAAAAAAAAAATACAAATTTTGGCGTTTTACAAATTATTTTAAATACATTAAAGCTGCAAAATGCATCACCCGAGCTCCAAGTCATTTTTAATACGAGATCTGCTGGGAGATTTAATAAATCGACCGCCGCCGGACAGCGGTAAGACGAACTTTAATTAATTATTATAAAAAATATTTTATAAAATATGCTAGAGTTTGGTTCATTTTAAGTTTATTGCCTTTAAAAAATAGCATTTTAATATTTATTTACTTTTTCTTGATTTAACAAGAACGAATTTGAAATTGTGTCGGTCATATACATAGGTAGGCCAATAAACCACGCATAGACCAGTTTTGGGTTCTTTGCGATACCGGATGGAGTTCAGTTGCTAGGTTCATGACGAGTAGTTATCCTTTAGGATCGGTCATATAAAAGTCACCAAGATTTTTACTACTGTACATTCGTAGTTACCAAGATTTATACGAGTATATGTACACACCTTATTAAATGTAGTTCCAACTTTCAAAAACTTTAAAATTGCCGAAACTGCGAAGAAACTGGCTTTACAGCTAAACTTATAAGACAACAGCTTATACTCCATACCAACTGCTGAAAAATATGTGAATGAGCTTAAACTGTACCGATTGAGATTCGATTATGAAAATGCTTTGACTTCATGAAACAAAAAATCTGAACAACCTGAATTGCTTAATTTTATTCATTACGAATTACAATCTTTCTTTAATTGTGTTTTGTTTTAAGGCATGGTTTTTTAAAAGGAGCAAAATTTATAAATGGCTTTGCTGGAAAAAAAAAATTTACTTCTACTTATTAAGACTTCTACTAGAGGCTGATAACTGCTAATAGAGCCGATAAGATCTGTAACGTTGATGCCGGAAACCCTAATATCCAACATTATTGGTTACATACGACTTCTGGAAGTTTTATGATGCTTGATTATTACATTTTAAACAGAAGCTTTATTACAGTTCTCAACTAAACCGAGCGTTGACCCTCATTTGGAGTCGAGTTTTTTTTTTTTAAATAGACAACTTATCAGCCAATTTATAAGGTCTATTTTAGAGAAATCCATTATTTTTGTAATAGATAGATTTTAGTTAGGCTTTAGAAAGATAAAATTTCGATCTGAAAAAATTTTTTTGAGACATTATTGCGATTGATTGACTTAGTATTGTATTGTTTATGAATGCATTAAAGATCGACACTAGCAATGAAAAAACACGCCATATTTTAGCGTTATTTTAGGATAAAGGCGAAACCCCAAGCCAGGCGGATGAAAATATGAATGCTTTTATAGTCTCGCACTGTGACAGTCAATTTCCATTTATGTTTCAACCATTTCGTTCAGGTAATTAATTAATGTCAAAGAAACACCACGCTCGGGAAGACAGATTGTCGAAAATATCAATCAAATAATGGTAATGGTGGAGTCGGGCTGTCTTGTAAGCATTGTAACGATTGTCCAGCAGCTGAAAGTTTCACAAAAACTCTTTTGGACCCACATAAATAAGACTAGATACTAAAAGAAGCTTGATATAAAATATAGAAAAAATTTTCCATCTGCAAATCGCTGCTGAATCGTAACAAAATCGATCCATTTCTGAGGCGGTTGGTTACCGCTCATGAAAGATTATTCACTTACGACAACGTTAAGCGAAAAAGTCATAATCGAATCACCGAGAGCCACAGCAAACGATGGACAAGCCAGCGTTGACTCTCTGGAAGGCTTTGCTAAGTGTTTGGTGGGATTGTCAGGGAATTATGTATTATGAGTTGCTCCCCTAGCAGGCCAGTCTCTTTAATCTCTGCATACAGTCAAAAATTTTACGGTCTGAATGAAGCAAGCGGTCGGCTGCAGCCAATAAGAAAAGAATTGTGTGGTCCATCACAACAACGCTACGGCTTTGATGGGACGGCTATGAATCATCTGCAACGAGCTGATGTCATACGGCCAAACTCTTAAATCAAGTCAGCAGTTGGGCTGTCTGAAGGTAGCAAACGCCAAGAAGCGGACAACTTCCAACACATCGATAGAGACTCGCCAGAAGATCTAGGTGCTTTGTTTGGAGGTTCTTATACATCCACTTTTTAGTCCTGGATGGGTTCCGATCTATGGCGAATGCTTTTGCTGGTGAAAAATTCGCATCGAGAAAAGTTTATGAAAATCGAGTGTGCCAGTTTATCGTTAGTATGGACGAAGCCTTCTATGTGAGTGGTATTGTGAAATTGCTTTCAAAATGAGAACAAGTTACCGAACAAAACGCTGCATATTTGATATAAATCGGATTAGTTTAACTATGACTAACTATAGTTGTGTAAATTTATTTCAAAATTAATGAATTTCCTTTTATTAGATGGTAAAAATAATTTAGAACTGTTTGATTGTGATATGAGTACTTGCTGAGTAGTCACTGTTCACGGCTGCTACTACTCAGCTTTGTCCGTTCAAATACTCTCTGTTTCTCTATAAAACATGCTAGTATATCTTCTAAAGCCTATTTTTGAATACAATTTAGGATACGTAACAACTTAGTAACCCGAAGTAAGATCAAATGAAATTATTTCAACCACACTACGATATATGAATGTATAGTAAATATGCGCGAATATTATCGCTCCCACCATAGTACACAGCCAATTAGCGTTGCATTGTTTGAAAATAACCGCCTACAAAAACCCGCTAATAGGCCGAAAATCTTTTTGGCGCAAATGTCGAGCCAACACATTAATCTACGCGCACACATACAGACTTAAGTACATATGTACGTATGTATATAGAGTGCATAGAAATGCGAAACGCTCGAGGTAATAATTTAATTTGTCGAATTGAGAATGTTAACGTGTTCATAAGCAATTTGTCACGTACAACCACTTTGCCATGCTGGCAATAACAAAGCAACAACAACAACAAAGTGCAAAAACATGTGCATGGCTTACACGCATACACGGTTGCATCTACTTTTGAGCAAGGGTTTGTAAAAAGGATGCCAAACCGACCAAGTTGTTGTGGATTTGCGGAATACCTGCGGCGACGGGACGTTTTGCAAGCTCGGAGTGTAGCATGCAATTTTTAAATGAGTGCAACTTATGCAGTCACAGCGGCATTTTGTAAGCTTATATGCGTGTATGTGTATCACTACTATTCTGTAGGCAATTAAAATGCTAAACCAACACTTTCAAACGGGCTGCGCCTGCTGCCATGCAAATTTCTAACAGTACATACTATACGCGCTTGTGGCAAGTGAAATGCGCTTGTATTTAGAAACTATGTATGCATTTGTGTGTGTTTTAGCAGTGCCATGACGGTAATTATGAGTGACACACATGACTGATATCAGGCCAAGTTGAATGCGCTGCTTTTCGCAAGCAGAATGGCAACGCTGCCTATTGTTCAAACAATTAAAAAACTATTTATGAGTTAATTGCAAGTTTAACTGCGAATTATATATAACCGTTGACGAGTGCATGCTTTTATTGCGATTACAAATTTATTTTCCAACAAAAATGAACACTTGAAAGTGCCGTGCAATGAATGCGCGGCGTCTCTTTGCGCTGGGCTCAGCGTAAAAAGTTCTTAAAAAGGCAAATTCTTCACACGACAGTATATTATAGAATTTACAGTGAGATTAACAATAAAAAAAATTAATTTTAGATTACAACTTGAGCAGAAAGTCTCAAATAATGACAACCTGACGCTGGTAATTTCTCTATCTATCTGGCAGAGATTATGACAGGAATTATAATAACCAAGCGCCAAAAGGTAATTATGTAATTAACCCTGTCAGCAAACCTCGAAGATCAATAAATTATAGTTAAACTGAGGCGAGCCCTGGCGTGAAGTAATTTCACGATTGTGTTGTTGTGGCACCTAAGTATGGCGGCGACAGATTTTTTAGGACTAATTTTCATGTAAGGCGGTTGAATCTCGTAAAACAAATAAACAATCCACCATCACCATCGAAAAAGATGAATTGCATTATAAATCTGTGAGACCGTTTCCAAAAACTAAAATAAACTTGACCAATCGGACCGCGGACACGTCCTCTTCCACACGTGATAAAAACGATAAAAACGAAATAGTCTTTGAAGCAGCATTTACACCAACAGCAACATGAGTCTCGAAATCTAACGCAGAATAACGCTTGGCAACAGGTGCTACTTCGGACTGAGTAGGCAATTGAGAGTAAAAACTTCTCTTGAGGAACCAAGACAAAATTCTGCAAGTTACTCATCCTCTCTGTTCTGCTATAATGGTGCAGAGGCTTGGATTATGACAACATCTGATGAGTTGGCGTTACCAGTTTTCGAGAGAAAGATGCTGCGGAAGTTTTATGGTTCTTTGCGCACGGGCAACAAATATCGCAGTCGATGGAAGGGTGCACTGTTCAAGATATACGACGAGATTAACATAGCAGCCACGCTGACTAAGTCATATCGTCCGAATGGATGAAAACACTCCAGCTCTGAGAGTATTCGAGCCAGTACACGCCGGGAGAACAGCAAGACCTACAACTCCGTTGGAAAGACCAGCTGCAGAAGTACGTGGAATCTCGAAACGAAAAGCAAGAACGGCGCGCAGTTGTAAACTCGGATGTAATCGTGTAAGCGGAGTCTACACCAAAAAAGAAGAACAAGAAGTTTAACGGTGTCCTTCTTTTTACATATCTTTATATATACCCGAACGTCCCTAATTTTTTGAGATATTGATTTGAAATTTTCGGAACTATAGCATTTAGCTGCCACACAACAAGCTGGCCATTCAAGCTCAAATGGAAACCGTTTTTATTTCACAAAGTACGAAATTTATTATTTATATATTATTCTCCAAAGCAAGCATACAATCTCCGAAGAATTGGTTTAGCTGGCAAAAAAAAGCTGACCGATTAAGTTCTTGCATGGAAAACTATTTTATTTGATAAAAGTATTACAGCTTTAGTGTGGCCGAAGTTAAAGTTTTTATACTCTCGCAACAAAGTTGCTAAAGAGAGTATTATAGTTTTGTTCACATAACGG